TAAGGGCACATTTAAGATATGAATAGGGTGTGAGCCTGAGACCTGGCCCAGGAACTAAGTATTTATCATTACAAAAGACTGGCCAGGCTTCCCAGGCAATCCAATCAAGTAACCTGCCAGACAGGAGATAAAGGACAGGAGAAAAACAACATTCAAATTTCTGCCTTTTCTGTGATGTAGGTATGATGTATCTGAGGGGTGGTCTTAGGTTACACCCCTTCTGTGAAGCATATATGATGTTTCTAGGAGTGGTCTTGATCTACAGGGTGGCAATTTCAAAAGTCTTTATAAGGCCTTGCACACCATTTTTCTGGGTTTCTCCTCTCTCCTGCGGGTGAGGGGAGCACCCTGTTACTACAGATCAATAAAAATCAAGCTTACTAGCTGCTTTGCTTCTCAATATTCTCTGGTTGGCCTCTGTTATTCTCTCCTACCAATAGGGAACCTATGTAAGGACTCTATGTGGACTCTTGGATACCCCATAAAGGAAAAGGGCAATTTTTGTTTATAACATATTCTGGCCACTTCACTCTGCCTCATTTTGGTAGGAAGCTTCCCTTCTCTTCCTGTGTTCCTCACAACATGAAAGGAGAACAAATATTAACTGGTGCTGTCACTTGGTTACTGAAAGCTGAGTTGATTTTCCATCAGAGCAATCCTAAAGTTGTTTACTAGGGAGTAAGCCCTGCTGAGCTCAGTTGGACGGACTTTTGAGTAAACACGCACAAGAGTACATTGTTAATCAATTAGGTACTTAAATCTACATCAATCTGTGATGGAATAAAACCAGTAGAACAGAAGATATTATTTTTAAATGAGAAAAGAATGCTAAATTATTGGAATCAGCTGCCGGGCTGGGAGGAAGAGAAGCAACAGCAGATAGCAGGGTGAACTGCTGTATTTGCCATCTCCACTTGCGACCCTCCAACTGTTCCTATTTTCCAGGTACAGTTGCGGATTGACAGAAGCCATCCCAGTTTCTGATTTGATCCTGGAATGTCCCGCTTTTCCTTAGGACGTCCCTATTTTCATTGGAGAAATGTTGGAGGGTATGGAGTTATGCAACCCCTGAGCCAAGGAGAGAAGTAACTACGCAACCTTTAGAAGGTAGCCCTGTATAGGGAGGTTTTTAAAATGTTTCATTTTTTACCGTGTTTTTAGATATGTTGGAAGCTGCCCAGAGTGGCTGGGACAACCCAGTCAGATGGGCGGGTTATAATTATTATTGCCATTTTTCTAGCAAAAGAAGTGCCAGAACTCATATGAACACCTCCCTCGTTCTTTTATAATGGCAATGGCACCCACTTGAGAGGTGCCAGAACTGAATTCTAGCAAGTTCTGGCTGGGAAAAAAAGCAATGATGATGATTATAATACAGTGGTACCTCAGGTTACATACACTTCAGGTTACATACGCTTCAGGTTACAGACTCCGCTAACCCAGAAATAGTGCTTCAGGTTAAGAACTTTGCTTCAGGATGAGAACACAAATTGTGCTCCGGCGGCGCGGCAGCAGCGGGAGGCCCCATTAGCTAAAGTGGTGCTTCAGGTTAAGAACAGTTTCAGGTTAAGAACGGACCTCCGGAACGAATTAAGTACGTAACCAGAGGTACCACTGTATAGGACGTCCCTATTTTCCCCTGAGAAATGTTGGAGGATATGTACTTGCTGCAGCTTTTGCCAGCTCGGCTAGTCTCCTTTGCCCACCCTCCTTCCCGTCTCTCTACACACGCCACAGGAACCAACGGCCCTGTAACGAACAGAAGGTCATGATGCAAGATTACTTATTGGAGGCCATCCACAGCTTCTTTTTGAACTGCAAGCAGCCCGTGATAGCGAGTTTATTTGCCTTTGAGGCCAGAGGTGTCATCTTGTAACGAAGAACTAGTGCTAGTATTTACTTTCTCCCATCCCGATTCCTTTTCCTTTTGTGTCATATCTTTTAGATTGCAAGTCAACTTATTGCTCTTTGAAAGATGTCCTGGGAACCTTTTTCAGCTGAAGGGTGTGGTAAAAAATGCTTTAAATAAATAAAGGAATAGTGCATGCACGTACACACACACACACATGCAAACTGCAGAGAAGGCATGCCTTTTCAGCAAGGACAGTGCATGTCCACATTGGTGTTTTTTTTAAATAAAAAAAATTGTTTAAAAAACAATTATTGTTAGCCAGGGATTCCTTTCCAAATGATGAAAAAGTTTTATTGGACTAGAAATCGCAAGTCCAATATTGACCTACTTCTGCAATGAAAATTGCCCATTTAAAGATTTGTTCAGAGCTTAGGCTGCATACAGATGTACCTTCAAATCATTTGTTCAGAGGTTAGATTGCATATTCCAACATACCTTTAAACAGAAGCCTTGCCTTGAAGTGAGATCCGTTTAGGCCTCTTGCTCAAAGATATCTTGCTGTCCAAGGTGAAGGACAATGTGATTCCCCACCCAGGACATTAAAAAGGGGTAAAGGACCCCTGGACGGTTAAGTCCAGTCAAAGGCGACTATGGGGTTGTGGCGCTCATCTCATTTTCAGGCCGAGTGAGCTGGTGTTTGTCCACAGACAGCTTTCTGGATCAAGTGGCCAGCATGACTAAACTGCTTCTGATGCAACGGGACACCGTGACGAGTGCCAGAGCGCACGGAAATGATGTTTACCTTCCCACTGCAGTTGTACCTATTTATCTACTTGCACTGGCATGTTTTCAAACTGCTAGGTTGGCATCTGTCTCCTGAGAAATCTCTATGTGGGACAAGAAGCTACAGTTAGAACTGGATATGGAACAACTGATTGGTTCAAAATTGGGAAAGGAGTACGACAAGGCTGTATATTGTCTCCCTGCTTATTTAACTTATATGCAGAATTCATCATGCGAAAGGCTGGGCTGAATGAATCCCAAGCCCGAATTAAGATTGCTGGAAGAAATATCAACAACCTCAGATATGCAGATGACACAAACTTGATGGCAGAAAGTGAGGAGGAATTAAAGAACCTTTTAATGAGGGTGAAAGAGGAGAGCACAAAATATGGTCTGAAGCTCAACATCAAAAAGACTAAGATCATGGCCACTGGTCCCATCACCTCCTGGCAAATAGAAGGGGAAGAAATGGAGGTAGTGAGAGAATTTTCTTTCTTGGGCTCCATGATCACTGCAGATGGTGACAGCAGCCACGAAATTAAAAGATGCCTGCTTCTTGGGAGAAAAGCAATGACAAACCTAGACAACATCTTAAAAAGCAGAGACATCACCTTGCCAACAAAGGTCCGTATAGTAAAAGCTATGGTTTTCCCAGTGGTGATGTATGGAAGTGAGAGCTGGACCATAAAGCAGGCAGATCACCATAGAATTGATGCTTTTGAATTATGGTGCAGGAGGAGACTCTTGAGAGTACCCATGGACTGCAAGAAGATCAAACCTATCCATTCTGAAGGAAATCAGCCATGAGTGCTCACTGGAAGGACAGATCCTGAAGCTGAGGATCCAATACTTTGGCCACCTCATGAGAAGAGAAGACTCCCTGGAAAAGACCCTGATGTTGGGAAAGATGGAGGGCACAAGGAGAAGGGGAAGACAGAGGATGAGATGGTTGGATAGTATTCTTGAAGCTAACAGCATGAGTTTGACCAAACTGTGGGAGGCAGTGGAAGACAGGAGTGCCTGGCGTGCTCTGGTCCATGGGGTCACAAAGAGTCGGACACGACTAAACGACTAAACAACAACAACAGGTTGGCAGGAGCTGGGACAGAGCAATGGGGGCTCACTCTGTCACGGCGATTTGAACCGCCGACTGAATCCCACTTCAAACACTGGGATTGATACAACCGCCAATCCTTTCAGTCTGCAGTAAGACCCACTGCATTCAATGGAACTTACTAAGTGTGCACAGGATTGCACCCCTATGCTGCAATATATGCTTACTTGGAGTGTTACAGAACTCAATGCAGTATACTTCTAAGTAGACAGATGTATAAGAATACACTGCTAGATGTAGTTACTAACTGTATACATGTATCCCCTACTTTAAATAGTTTAGAGCTGAGTTCTGGACCTGATGAAACCTAGCTCAAATGTAGTTCTGGCAGTATCCCCAGCATCTTAGACGAAGAAATATATTTTGGTGCAGTGGTGATTAAAATGTTACAATGTAGTAGATTAAAATGCATCCTTTATGGCTCAGCTCCTGCCCACCAAATGCTCCCTGTGTGCATAGAACAATATGTGTAATTCTGCTCCAGAAAATAGCCACAATGTTTTTCCGATATGATACCATTTTAAAACCTCTCTTACTCACTTTCTGTCCCATTTAACAAAACTGAAGAGAAACTCCATGATAAATATATATATGGGAGAGATGGGTTATTGGTTTGTTTTGTCCGTATTTATGTTTTTATTATGCATTTTGTGCTTTTTTATCTTGTATTTTTATGTTGTGAACTGCCCAGAGATCTATGGATGAAAGACGGTATACAAATTTAATAAATAATGATAATAAATATATTTAAACAAACCCCTAAGATTGGTCCTTTGGAAACACTGTGTACAACTGGTATTACAAATGTTTTTGGTTTGAGATTGAGATTTTTCACAATAATTGTAACAACACAATCCTTTCTGAGACACAATGTTCCCAAGGGAGTGGAGTCTTTCTCTACTATAAGACATTGTGAAGGCCACTAACTGTTATTTAAACAATAAACAAGATACTGTAACTCTGAAGACCAGATCTTGGGAACAAAACGCAGAAGGGTTGCTGCCTTCCGGCCCTCCTTAGATACATTTGGCTTGCCTGCTTTTGGTGGCAATACGAACGCTGGCCCCGATCCTGCGAAGGCGCGCTCTTTAACCCTCTTTGGCACTCCTGGAGCATTGTTTGGCCTACGCTCATCTCTGCAGCGCGCAAGGCAGCCTGCAAGCCGGAGGCTGATGCTGTGCCCGGGCTCCGGCGATAGGAGGAGCAGCAGCAGCTAAATAAAGCCTCTCTTTCTCTTTACTTTTCCTCTTTAGGGGAAAGAGGAGGGAGGGGAGAGAAAGAGTGAGAAAAGATAAGCAACGAGCCTGTGCCAAAGAAGGCCACGTGCTTATGGAGCACTGGCAGAGCAGCAACCCAAATAACATTTAATTTTTTTTAATTCAAAAGAGCAGGGCCTGCTTGTGTGCGTGTGTTGAACGGCCTCTCCTCTAGCCTGCTTTACGGTTCTTCCTCCGCCACCAGCAGCAGCAGCAAGCAAGCAAACTCAGCCGCTCCCCTCCCCACCGCTCACCCGGGGGAAAGAAGAGGCGGAGGAAGGAGAGGAGGTGGTGGTGTAGGAGGACGACAGGCAGCCGGGCAGATCCTGTCTGATCTGTGCGCCGGTGATGGGTGGTGGTGGTTTGTTTTCCTTGCCGCCCTCCCCGCGGCTCCCATCCTCTTCCTGCAGCCGGCTAGCCTAAACCAAGGCGAGGCGCAAAAGCGAAGCGCAATTACGCGCGCCTGTTTGTTTTTTTTGCCCTCCGGGTTCTTGATAATGGAAAAAGTGCCCAGAGAAATTTCTGGCGGCGATGGTGCTGGTGCCGGCGGCGGCGTCCCTCCTCTTTTTTTTTCCACCAGCAGCGGATCACCATTGTGTGGGAGGAGGGCAGCGGCGGCAGCAGCGGCGGCGACAGGGATGGACTTGGTCTTTGGGATTTCTTGCTAAAGGGAGCAGCACAGACACCCGGCGCACCAGACCAGCAGGGAGGCGGACGCGAGAGGAGCTGCTGCGCTCACTTGCTGCTGTTGCCTCCGCCTGGGCGCACCATCGCCTTCTCTGCCGGCAAAGCCACAAGGCTCTTCCGTAAAGAAGCGCCTGGCTTCTCCCTTCCTGCCTTCGTCTTCACCGCCTTCCCACCTTGCAGGCTCCCCGCTGCAGCAGATGTGTTTGGGGTCACCGCGCAGCTGGGACTATGGTGAAATTTCCGGCGCTCACTAACTACTGGCCCCTGATCCGCTTCTTGGTCCCTTTGGGCATCACCAACATAGCCATCGACTTCGGGGAGCAGGTAAGAGGCCACCCGCGGCCAGATAGCCGCCCATTCTTTTTTCAGCTTATGGATTTATTTTTATTTTTACTTGCAACTCTTTCCTGCGTACTCCCAGGGAAAGGAAGCCGTCGCTGGGCGATGCAAATCGCCTGCAAGGTTGCTACGGTGTTTTTGCCCGGTCTATTTTTAGGCTCCCTAATGCTGAGTGATGACAAAACGCGCAGCGCACTCCTTTTCCTCGGGAGCCCAGAAGCTCTGGCTGAGAGCAACAAAGCGCTGGCTGGATGTTTGAATGTCAGAAGCCAGCCGGCTTTCCTTTTCCAGAACATGCAAGGAACAGAGACCAGGCGCGGGGCGGGGGGGGATGGATTGTAGGGATGGGCTGGAGGGGGTGTGCAATGCAAAAAAGCAACCAGAGGGAGGGGGTGATATAACACTCTGAGGAAGGCACAGCCGACCTGCTTTAGGGGCTGATTCAGGCCACGATTGGAAATGCAAAACAGCCATTCATCTTCCTGCGTCTTCCAGGAAGGGGCTTTTGCTGTTATCCAATGTATGTGCTTTTCATTCTCCAGGCTCTTAGGCATCAATGTTACTGGGGATGCTCCAGGCATCAGTGTTACTGGGGATGCAGCAAAGGCCTGAAAAGCTGCTCACAGAAGAATTATGTAATTTGGAATGCCACTAAGTACTGGCTACGCGCACATACCTTTAATAGGACACCTCGGCTGAGTTTCTGCAATCTGGGCGGATGTCAGGTCCATTGTTTATTAGTGCTAAATAATGCTCAGGCTGGAGGTGGTGATTATGGGTGTTGCACGCACGTTGTTTTGCAGAAACATTTAGAAATTCATTTGCTCACAGCTCAAGCTTGTGTATGTTTACTCGGAAGCAAGTCTCACAGTAATCCCAAATGAGCCTGCCCTTAATTGCTGATTTCCCCCTCCTCCTGGGGAGTTATGGTTGTGGGTGAGGACTGAAGGCGCTAAACTTTTTTGCAGGCATCCATATTATTTTTCCCTACTCATGGTCTCCCCCCTCCCTTCACAGAAAAGCAGGTGATGCTCTAACCCCTTCAGCCACCAATGAGCCAGCTCTGCTTGCTTGACTTAAGCTGCCCTTGGATGACTGAAGATGCTGTGTAATAATAGCATTAGGAGAGAGTGAGTGCATTGGGGGGGGTGGGGAGGAGAGCTGGAAAGGGATCATGCTGCCAAAAGCTTCTGCTTAGAAGTGAGGCCTTGCTTGTTAGGACTTGTGCAAACGTTGTTTTCTACAGAGTAGACTTTGAAAGCCTATTGTTGTAATCCTATAGTATTAACATTAGCCGGGCCTGTTATTCTTTAGTTGCAGGATAAGTTAGAGAAATGGTTTTCTGGTAGTTTTCTGCAGTAAACAACTGTGTGCATTTCAGCTGTATATGTCTGCTTGCTTGGTTTACCAACATGAACACTCTCTTAGGTCAATGAAGTAATCACAGTGGGAGAGCTGGGAACCCCCTGTAATTTTCAGGTGTTTGGACCCACCAGAGATACTTCATATACTATAGTGGTTTTTTAAAAGGTATACTATATATTTTTTAATATACACCAAAAAATGTAAAGCATGAATGTGGTGAACAGGTGTTTAAAGAAATTCATATCCAGCATCTTCATTGGAGTGCTAGGACTGTGCCTGGCTTTTTGCCGCATGTATACACTTTTGCAAACCCAGGTTTGTTGCTGTGCCATGTGTGAAATAGCCCTTATTCCTTTAAGTGCCAGAGTGCTAACTTTGAGCTCCTTGATATTTGCATTATTTGATATTGCTGTGTTGATGAGCAGCAGAGTGTTTTTCCTTTTGTTACTGCTCAGTTGACCAGGGCAGCATCTCTCATTAGGCAGTGTTAAGTACTCTTTGGACTGCACGAAACTCTGTGTAAGTGATTAGCAAATGCTAGAGAACAAAGGTTGATGCACCTCCTAGGTAGCTCATGTTTTCAACTGCTGGTTCATTCAAAAAAGTGAATGGAAAAAGAATCCCCCAGAATGCATGTGTGTTAAAGATGTGACTTGTACTTCCCCATGCTTTCCTTCCTCTGAGCCACTGAGGAGGGAGCCCTGCATCACATACTTAAGAGCACAATATTGTATTCCACATTAAGTCACCCAGTGGTGACTCCTTATCAGTTCATCCAGGCCAGCTGCTGCCCTTCTGAGTTCCTCATCTCACAGCGCAATCCTACATAGATATACTCAGAAGCAAGCTCTGTTGAATTCAATGGGGCTTACTCTCAGGAAAGGATTGTACTCAACAGTTCGCAGTATGAATGAGAAACTGCTTCCCTTCCTTTTTAAGGATGTATTGAAAATGGAAAGCGTAGTTGCAAAATGGTAGTTATAGGTGCTGATGTGTAACTAATTTTGTGTTAACTTGATCTTGAGTTTTCTTGGAGGAGGAAGAAGATGCATTTTTGACTACAGGGCACTCTTTCATAGCATCATAGTGGGAGTTAATGGGGATAATGGGCTGGGATGGAAATAGCAATGTGATATGTATATGGTTTTACATGTGGCTTCTTACACTTAAGACTTTCAGTCGGCTTGTTATTATACAGAACACACACAAACCTATTTTTTACTGTTTGTAGACTCAAATAATTCTTTTATCTCATTCTCTCCCTCCCCCCGCCGCCGAGGAACAACAAGTTAGAGAAGCGTTCCCTCCGATGCGGGGCCTTAAGACAAAAGGCTTGACTCCTGGGAGCTATGCCACGCCCAAGGTGCGCGGGAGGCAACGTGCAGCAGTAAGTGCGTGAGAGCAAGCTGCAAATAGAGATGTAACACATTTTTCTCCTCTAAATCTATTAGGTAGATAATGGCCTCATATAACAATTCCACTTCAACCATAACATCTTACTGGGGTACCTGGGAGACTGTTACAGTGACCCAACAATCTAAGGTTTACTTTTAAGCTTGTTGCTCCCCAAAGTACCATTGACAGATCCAAGTGAGCAATTGGTTGAATTTTGTTATGTGAATCTCAAGAGAAGGGTGGGGAAGCATTTGGCTTCTGTGCCTACTCTGTTCTTAATCCCTTTTCCCATTCTGCTTGGCGAAAAGGTCCTTTACAACATACAATGTCCACATACTCCCAACAGCAACAGATGGGGATCCAGTAAAAGTATCAGTATATTCCAACTGGGTTTATTCTATAAGAACAACAACAACAAAAAAATAATAATCTCCCAATCAAGAGAGAAAATGTCAGTGTGTTTTTTTTAAAAAATCATAACCTTTTAGTGCCTTCTGGTTTCTTGCAAATTTACTGAAGCAGAGCTAACTAGGAAGCCATAGCCAGCCCCATCTGCACTTCTGAAAGCGTTGCAAATGAATTAGGCATAATTGGCTCAAAGTGTGACCACCCCACACTCCTGAGTTATCAGTCGATTCTGCTTTTCAGAGCAAGGTCCACCTAATTCAGTTTTATGTTGCCAGTAGTGGCAGCCAGATACTTGTAAATGCTAAGCACCGGGTCATTGTTCTTTGTCCTCAGTATCTAGAACAGTCATACCTCTGGTTGCGAACGTGATCCAGAGGTCTGTTCTTAACCTGAAACTTGTTGTTCTCAACCTGAGACACCACTTTAGCTAATGGGGCCTCCTGCTGCTGCCGTGCCGTGGCGGTGTGATTTCTGTTCTCATCCTGAAGCAAAGTTCTTAACCCGAGGTACTATTTCTGGGTTAGCGGAGTCTGTAACCTGAAGCTTCTGTAACCTGAAGCGTCTGTAACCCGAGGTACCACTGTATTTAGAGGTATACTGCCTCTATTCTGTGTAGCTATGGGGGCGGCGGCGGGGGGGGGGCTGAAAGCCCTTTGTTTAAAGCCAGCTAAACTGGCAGCAATCGCCAATAAATTTCATAGTTATGTGTTGAACTACAGTTCTTTTTGGCTACAGCATATAAAAAAACAAGTGTTAGAAACTCAGCTATCTATTATAACCCCCAAATGGCACCTTAAACCTAGTTTACGGTTGCCACAATGGAATGTCTAGGTGCTGTTTTGTTTTTAAAATTGAGTTGTTTATTATTATTATTATTATTATTATTATTATTATTATTAATTTATTTACTGTCATTCATATCATTTCTACACCGCTTTATATTTTAAAGAACAAATTTCAAAACGGTTTACAACCCATTTAAACCATCAAATAAAGCAATCCGGAATAAAACAAATTCAAGCTTCAAGGAGAATATTTCAGACCCTCCTTCTCTTAAGTAACATCTTGCTTTCCCCAGTTGCAAACCTGGCATCCATAGATCTCCAAGTAGTCGCAGTTGACCCACACCAGTCACAAAATGCACCCGGCGCCTGGCTAATTTCTAATACTGTCAAACACCTACCTGGGACCGCAAGTGCTGCAGGCTTATTGGAGGTGGTTATAACAATTGGGGCAGTAGTTTTGATGTGTTGAGAGTAGCATAGTATGTGCAAGTGCAACCAAATAATGTCTGTGCTATACTTTCTCAAATACCGACACATGTAAGGACAGTGTTGGCAGCCAGTGCCTCTACCTGTGATTGGTAGTATTCTTACTAATGTTACCTTAGGCAGAATTACTCTATATTAGGAATTCCTTCGGTAGAATCTAAGTCTACTACACCATTGTACTGTGACTCATTTAACAGAGTAAAATAAACAAGGCCATTGTGTGATAGCTAGCCAGCTATATGAGCTAGCTACTTTTTATAGAATCATAGAATTGTAGAGTTATTATTGCAAATGAATTAGGCATAACTGGCTCAGAGTGTGACCACCTCACACTCCTGGGTTATCAGTCACTTCTTACAAGAATCGCTTTGCAGAGCAAGGCCCACCTAATTCAGTTTTATGTTGCCAGTGGTGGCAGCCAGATACTTGTAAGTGCTCGAATTTACGTCTACTACACCATTGTACTGTGCCTTATTTAACAGAGTAAAATAAACAAGGCCGTTGTATGATAGCTAGCCTGCTATATGAGCTAGCTAGATTCTATGA